GTGGGTGTGGGTGTGAGGGTGTGGGTGTGGGTGTGGGTGTGGATGTGGGTATTTTCTTCTTTACACTGACACCCACATCCACACCTAACTCAATATTATTATATCGCACCTTTATTAGAACAGAGATCAAGATGTGAGTTAAAGCATGAAAATTTTTATCATTTATTTAATTATTCCAAGATAAAAAGAAAATAATAAAAAATAACGAAAGAAAATTGTTTCAGTAGAATAGAATATACTCTACGCGATAAGTTCATTTGAAAAGAACAAATTGTTCTAGATCTTCTGGATCTTCGGTTATTTTAATATCATCCAGTTGATTTCCATGAAAGATCTGACTTAATTTTCTGAGTCCTTCTAATGCATTACCAGTAAATATAAGACATTTCTGATTGAAGCCAAGCTTTCGCACTTCAGATAGAAGACGAACACCAGCATCATTTGGTGAACTCTCATTATCTCGATTCATATCGGTGACAATACGGAAAGTATCACTATGTTTTAATCGTTTTCCAAATTCTGATCGAAGAAAGGCAAGTGCAAATTCAGTGGTAGACTTTGGAATGAAATGAACATTGACTTGTGTGCCAAGAGTACTTGCTTTTTCCATATGTCCTTTGTTTTCCCACCATTCATCAAATATATGATCATCAACCCATAATACAACATATTTGCAAAGACCAAGTTCGATCTATAATATTCATTTTAATATATTTAAGCTAAATAAGTTATTTACCTGTCTCATATAAATTATGTGTTTTCTATCTATGATTTCGATATGGCATACAAGAAATGTTGAATGAGGTAAGAAAAGAACTTCATCTTCATCTTGAGAACAATTTGAGAAATCTCGTATGCTTCGACCAGTCAATGAATAAATAATAAACTTGGTATTACGTTCTTTGAAATATTGAAGATGTTTGGCATTTTGATCATCACCTTTATCAGAACTACTAAATTGAAGCCATGTTATTACTTCTCCAGGTCGATAATCGTTAAGATCTTTCTCACTCAACTTGACATATCGAACAACTCGACCCCAGTAGAAATTAATATGTGAAAGACCTTTTATAAGATAATACATAATCATAGCAGTATTATCATCAACTTGCACATTTTCTGCATTTGTTGCTTTGTTTCTTTGCCATCGACGAGCAAAGATATTAGCGTTCAAACTGAGCATCTCACTATATGCACCTGTATAAAATGCAATAGCAAACGCATATGCTTTAGCATCATCTTCGTTAATATGTTTTTCCAAAAAGTGACGATGAGATGTTTCTATTGTCATGAGATGTAGTTGGATAAAGCCGTCTCCATCGAATTTTCTACATGCTTCAACTAGATTTGTAAATGATGGTTTCTTTCCATTAGTCAACATTTGAGTAAGTGTTGGTCCGAAATCATCTTCAATAACAGTATATTCTTCACGTTTCTTGAGAAGTTGAGTTACATTTTGATACAGAATAACTGATTCAAGGTATTTTTCAACTTTCTCCAATTGAAAATCTTTTGATAATAGCTTATTTTGATAATTAGGAATTTTGCCAACTGATTGAACGTAACAACAGTGTTGAAGACGCATTTCTGGTTTATCAACATTCTTCTTAGCATTCTGAATATGTTGAAATACTTCCATATGTGAGTAACGCGAGGATACCCGTTCTACCTCATCTTCGTCCATCATATATCTCGATTGCATATTATCAGAAGTTCGATTTCCCATGCTAACGCTAAATGAAAGACGGACTCGTTGAAATTTAGTTTTATTGTAAAACTCATCCAAACGGACATAAGAAAGTTTTTAGACACATTCAGACACGACTGAGTTAAAATCGCGTGTGGGTGTTCTCGATTGCTAAGTGTCTGTAATGGGGAGAGAAGCCGCGAAAGCTTGACCTTAAAACTTACACTCACTATTTTCTTCGAAAATATATGAGAGTTCCACAAAAGAATCTAATATTAATAATTTTTCACTTACGAATGTGGCAAAATCAGGGGTCAAACCTTAATTATATTTTCACTACGTGTTCTTTTTATTCTACCAGAAAATATGCAAAATGTTTGTATTTTTTTTCTACTCACTCTCAGGTTCCCTTAACATGTATTACTGACAACATTATCAACAACCACAACCATGTGGTTAGCTTTTTCTTTTCTTTTCTCGATGTTATGTTTTTATAGTCAAAACACTTTATATTGATGTCTAGGACAAAAAAAAACGTGCGTATTTTTCTTTCTTTACAGTGGGGATCTAACAGCTGGAATTTCTTCTTAGTTGATATCTACATGTTTTTTTCCAAATGATGTCAAAAGGCGTCGCTTATTTTTTTCCTTCTCTTCTGTTTCTCTGCTGTCCTTTCATAAGCAGTCAGTTGGAAATTTCCAAGCACATGTTGGTTGCTCTTTCGTTCTTCATCTACTTGACAGTCATGTATTGTCATACGAATGCATTTTCCCAAGACTCACAGGTAAATAAATGTTTGTCGAAAATCTTGTTAGTGTCTTTCGTTCGTTTGTGGGTGTAGGTGTGTATAAGAGAATATCAATCATGTATCTAATATAGCTAGCAAGACCGGTTTCGATAAGTCTCTCTGAGCTGCCATGACCGGTTTCGTCCGGGCTAAAGGACTCATTCAGATGGCTTAAGGGTACCCCCTCTTTTTTGATCATTTCTAGGTCTCGAAAATGGTAAGGCCGATCGAAATGAAATTTTTACCACAAATAGAACACCTAAAATGATGAGACATGTGTTCGAGGAAAAAATTCTCTAAGGCGGTTTTCATGGTTTTTTTATGAAAAACCTTGGTTTTCCATAGGTTCTCATCTTGCCAAGGGCAACCCCTTTCTAACTTCGTCCGATTGGGCTGAAAATTTTTTTATGGATAGCTACGACTATATCTCAGAGGTAGTTTTGAGCGTTTTCAAAAATCTCACTTTCTTTTTTTTTATAAAAAAAAATACGTAAAGGTTTTTTGCCAGAACCAGGTTTTTGACCTTGCGAACCCTATAAATCCGGATGGAAGCATCAGAAATTAAACCGGTCAAAACTACCTCTGGAGAATACTTCAAAGTATCTATGATAAAAATTTCAGCCCGATCGGACAAAGTTAGAGGAAGGTTGTCCATGGCACAATTTGGTACTTTGCATAAAAAACTGGTTTTCGAGAAAAATGCAAAATAAGTTTGAGAAGTGTATCTCGTTACAGAGAAAGAATGAAAGTGTATTTTTTTAACGAATCTATAGGCAGTTTGTGATGGGGAATCTAATGGTGATATCGACAGATATATGCAATGTACACTAGCAACCTCTATTGGTCACGTTATCGAGTGGAATACAGCACCTTCTTTTGAATCATCGATTATCACTTCATATAATTATTATTTCATTATTTTGATCTAAAACAAAAAAGAAATGAAATAAAATGCCGCCAAAGGCAAAAGCAAAAGCAGCTACACAAACAAGTAATGAAGAAAAAGAAATATCAATAAATTTATTCAAGTTATGTGAACAAAGGTAAGAAAGTTCTAAACGTATAAAAAAAAACATTTTCTAGTCTGCAATTCCAGCACCATATTTGTGTGGATCAGCTTGTGTGAGTTTAGCTTCTTTTTGAAGTCGTTCGAAACGATTTCTTCGTCGTTGTTCAAGGCGAAGAAGAGGATCGAATGATTAATCTTCTTTTATTCGTTCATGATCGATCTTTTTAAGCATTTTAAGTAGAGCATTATTTATAGCAATACCGAATGATTTGTAAATAGGAATAAGACCAATAAATCCTTCATTATAAATTATTACAGCCAAATTTGTTGCGATTTAAATACGTTTTCGAATATGATATTTTTTTTACTACATAATGACCAAATAATCCGATGAAAACTTTCATTAGGATTAGTTGTTCCTCCATTCAGTAGTTGACGAAGGCATTCATCACTACATAAATCGTCATACGCCGGCTTGATAGCAGCACAAACAGTAGGAGGAAGCGAATGTGATTGATGTTTATAATTAAAATCAAGATATAATCTGAAATGATCGGGATCGCAGAGGTCATGCATAGGATTTTCATCTGTACTTGACATATGAAACCAAGCAGCCCATGCAGCTTGCTTCATTTTCTCTAAATCATTGTTATTATCTCGTATTGCTTTACCAAAATAAATTTGAAGTTTATGAGTTTTTCCATCATCTATAAAAACAATTTTTACATTCAATTCGTATTTATTTTTGAATTGTCTTCGAAAAAATACCATTCCTAATCTACCTTTACCACCTATAGTTTTGTTATCGGCAAGACGTTTTCTTCCATAGCTCTTTTTGATGTTTAATAAACGTGTTTTCATTCTCTTTGAAAAATGATTAACACATTGCTTTCTTTCAATTGCTAAATCACCATAGGGTTTTGATTGAGAAATATTAATATCATTTTTTGTGTCACCATCTGCAATGTATGTCGTATAACGCAGATTATGTTTCAGAATTGATCGACCAAACATTTTAACCATCTAGATGATGAAAGAGAAGTATAGAAAAAGAATGTGAATCACTTACTGCAGCTCCTTCCATTCCACCACTACTACCTTCGTAATTAGCTTCACAACCACATTCCAGATGTTCTTCGAGTAGTTTAGAATATAATTCACCATCAGATTTCTTGATAGCTAATAATCCAGCACATTCCGAACAATGACGACTCAATATTTCATAATCAAGAACTTTTGGTGGATCCGCTACACTGACAATAGTTCCTACACCATGTAAAGATGAATAACCTTGCGTCAACCAAGTACCATCGATAGACACAGTAACATCATCACCTTTGTAATACGTACGTGCTTCATTAGCAGCTACTGCTGTACTCGTTTCAGCTACTTCTTGAATGGACGTAAATAAAAGATCCTCATATCGTTTATATGATTCAATTTGAACAGGTGGTAAAATACCCATAGCTTCAAAAAACTTTTGAAGACCTCGTCGTTGAACACCGATAAGAGATCCAGCAAGAATGCTTGCCATATTCAAGTCAGTCATTTGAGAATTTGATGATGGTAAAATTCGATTACCAGTAATAAAGTGTATAATATTTCCACACGAACACGTAAATGAGATATAATAAGAAAGTCCAAGACGTTTAGTAACTTTAAAATCATATTGTCCATGAACATCACATTTTGGACATTTCATCGAATTGACGAGAAATAAGATATTTTGAATATTTACAATGAGATTAACGTCAGAATAGTCATTCGAATCGACAGGCAAATCTTCGTCATCACTTGATAAGCTTTTTTCATCATCATCATCAGTTGATAAATCGAAAAGACGTCGTTGATACGAAGAAATAAGTTTTTTTTCTATAATAGAAGGAGTTGTTGTTGTTATCGGTTGTGCTAGTGTAGATGGAATAAGAGGAGCATCTGTTTCAGATTTTTGACATTCATAAAGTGCTTGTATCTTCGCTTTGTTCTTTCGATCTCGACGATTAGAACTAAATAAAACTTTTTTTTAGTTACATCAAACCAACGGATGAACTTCGTCAACAACAAATATATCAAATTTTATTTACACTCAGCCAAGCTTATAATCATTATTCTAAACAAGATATTCCGGAAAATATCTTTAACATTTTGTTCAATCATAGTCTTTCTTCAAATATCCAGTTGAATCATGACTAAGTCAAGGCGGAAAAAGATGAGATTTACAAACTGCTATGGGAAATTATTGAAACAAATAAAAAAAAGAAAAGTCCTATCGAAAAGTGGATTCCCGGTTAAGTTCAATATCCAGCTATAATTGGACAACTTCTTCGTGCTCGTTTTCCTAGTCCGGAGGCAGACATATTTTTACCTAATTGTACTAAATATGACATGAAAGACTTCATCAAATATACATCTTCCTAAGGCTTGCCTCATTATTTTCCAAAATATAGAAGAACAGTTGCGAATGATATAATAAAGTAGAACCGAATAAGAAGAAATAAGTGAAGCGTCTTTCTTTCTAACGATATATATAAATATCAAAAGTACACACCGTGCGTGCATACCGCCTCTTGACAGAACGAACAAAAAAAAAGATAAGAGTGCCTCTTGCATTCCAAGTGATTTCTTCATTCAGTGCATTTGTGTATGCCATACAAACATTATCATATATTCAATCAAACTCCTGATCGATTGCCTAGTGTAAACCTACATAAAAATATCATTTTTTATTTTTTCATGAAATAGTGAAATTTTGACAATTTTTGAAAACAGACATTTTTCGTAAAAATGCAATAAAAAATTAACGGCAAGTCCGATTGAGCTGATTCAAACGGCAATCGATAGGTCACCATAGGGTGTGGGGTGTGGGTATGGGTAGGATGGGTGTGGGTGTGTATGTGGGTGTGGAGTGTGGGTATGGGTAGGATGGGTGTGGGTGTGTATGTGGGTGTGGGGTGTGGTATGGGTAGGATGGGTGTGAGTGTGGGTGTGGGTGTGGATGTGGGTGTGGGTGTGGGGTGTGGGTGTGGATGTGGGGGTGGGGAGAGGGGGAGGGGTGGGGGTGAGTGTAGATGAGGAGAAGAGCTAAACACACACCCACACCCCACGCCCACACCCACGCCCACACCCACACCCGCACCCACACAAACACCCACACCATGGTATTTGGAGACAGGAACATTGAAAGTGGTATCCAAGTAGCAGGAGAGACCATAGAAAACGTAGAAAAATTCGAATATCTGGGCAGTCTACTAACATGGGATAACAATTGCTCGGAGGAAATCAAAAGGAGAATAGGAAAAGCGACAGGTGCAATGGCTTCATTGAAACATATATGGAATAGCAAGAAACTGAAGATAGAAAACAAACTTAAAATGCTAACAACATGTGTCTTCAGTGTGCTCCTATCAGAGCCCGAAAACGAACCGAACTCGAACCACTTCTTAAAAAGCGACCTTAAGCTGAACTGCGCCTAACTAATTTTTGAAAAGCGAATAAATATGGATAAGTACATAAGAAAAATGATTAGCTGAGCTATAATCTTTTTTGTAAGGTTGTGATGCTATATGAGATTATCAAACGATCTTTAATCGAACATTTTACATCGGGGATTGTGGACGATCAATTTATATTTACAAAAATTTATCAAATCAAGAAATCAATTGTAAAAGATTTCATTTTATTTTGAATTTAAATCGAATTTATATAAAATTCAAAAAAATTCAATAAACTCAAAATAATTTAGATTACATCTAAAGAAATTTGAAGTATTTTAAGCTCCATTTTAATTAATTTAAGTTTCACTTTGTATAGTTATCTATAGAAATCAAAAGAAACCTTTTATCTCTCAGGTCTACTAGCAATGGTATCTGTACAAATTTTTATTATCGTTAGAAAATAATAGGAACGGAGCACGGCCGTTTTGTTACGGGATCTACTATAGTGATGATCGGATGTTAACGTATAATAGCAGTTTCTCTCTTTATTTCTGATCTATTTTTCTTGAAGTCATGTATTTTGACGATTGGGCTGTTGCATTTTAATTCACAAAAAATTATTATTTCCAGAAATTAATTCTCAAAAATTTAAATCTAAAATAATTTTTAATTTATTCCACATAACAATTTAAATTTATTTTAAATTAAAATTCTGGTATCAGAAAAATTTTTATTTAATTTAAATTTATATTGGCAACAGTTTTAGTTTAAAATAAATTTACAGGAAAATGCCACGCCTATTAGGAACCGAACCGAACTATAATGGTTCGGTTCGGTTCGACTCGAACCGAATCGATCTCGAACCGGTTTTTTTAAAATTTAGCCGAACCGAACCGAACTCGAACCGATTTTTTTAAACATAGTCGAACCGAACCGAACTCGAACCCGTAAAAGTTGGTTCGATTCGGGCTCTGGCTCCTATACGCATCAGAGACATGGACTCTAAAAGAAGCCGACAGAAAGAAACTATTGGCATTTGAAATGAAATGTTACCGACAGATTCTAAGAATTAATTGGCGAGACAGCATACGAAATGAAGATATCAGAAAAAGGATACCAAAAGAAGAGACGATAATAGGCACCATCAAGAAGAGGAAATTAAGACTATTCGGCCACATATGCAGAATGAACGACAATAGGTTGATTAAACACACAATATTTGCCAAAATGAACGGAAAATCCCGACGAGGACGTCCATGCAGAGAGTGGCTGGATGACATAACAGAGTGGTGTCAACGCAGTGGACAAGAATTGTTCTACCTTGCACAAGATCGACAGGCATGGAGGAATCTGATCTCGTAAATGGTTGGCCCCAACGGGCGCTAAACCTATGGGACATGATGATGATGATGATGATGAATTGAGCATTATAATCTAAATATATATAATATATTTTATCCATTTAATAATCATTACTCATAAATTTCTTCATTAAATTTCATAAACTACAATGCAGAAACTAAATAAACTAAATAAGTCGATATAAACTAACGTCAAAGGTTGTTTTTAAATATAGTTTTTATTTTGAATATGACGCTATAGTAGTTAAATGTATCATAGAAAAGAAAGTTCGTGATTTCACACATTCATGAGCACAAGGTTCTTTGCTTTATATTTGACTAGCGACAAGTGTACAAGTGTCATCGAAATGAATCAATTGATTCAATAATACGAGTCATCTTAATCAACTCACATATAGATTCACAAATATTCGCTCTTAACATTCCCTCTACGATAGCAAGAGAATACACAAAGATCTCTCTGGAGCTTTTTTATGACAGTATTTATTTCCTTAAAATGTTTCATTGATTATCTAAATTTTGGTTTTTGAAACTACATCAATTACTTTAAAAAGGAATGTTTTTTTAATTGTACAGTTATAAAGAACATGACAAAAAGATTGAAGTCAGAATTTCTTTATTGAAAGAGAAAATTTTCTTGAATATTGAAATTGGAAAGAGTTTATCGATAAAATATAATATTTCCACGCATAATCAAACTACTCTAGTGAGATATCTTGTAAGAAAGATCTTGACGAAGACCTACAGTACAGAAAAGTGAACAGATCTTGACAATTTAGGTCCAAGATAATCAAATTATCTTCTACCAAGATCTGTAATTAGATCGTGAGTATATATTGATATCATGCAGTTAAAAAATAATAATGTGATATAACTTGTCCAAGATCTTGGTTTGATAATACTTACTAAAGATTACTTTGTCAACACTCGGAACTAGATCAAGCTGAATGGTTCCAGAAAATGTGGTCTCCACTCAAGAGTGTTCATGGTGGCTGCGATTTCGAAGAGTGTGTGGTGTGAATGTTATTTAACCACTAATCCAAATCCACACCCCACACCTCAAAACTGTTGTTTCAAACAAAACTGCCCGTCACAGGTAAGTCCTCGATAAATAAAATTGAAGAATAAAATTTGCGATATATTTTTATTCATTTAAGTCCATCTTAGGGCATTATTAGTATATTAGCGAAGACAAGTGTTTACCAGCGTCATTGGTTGACCTAATGCAAAATTCAATCCTCCCATAATAAATTCCTAAAATACCAAATACCAACATAAGTCAGTAAACCGTCAATATTTTTGAATGCGAATAATTATGTTTATTATTTTTCAGTCGAATAAAGTTAATCGGTAGTGTCTTAATATCACCCCATTACTTCTCTCGAAAATAGAAACTAAAAGCCTGGTAAAAATATGCTTTCCCGATTAAAACATCTCCTATTCTTAAATCCTTCGATGGTCATGAAAAATTTCTTTATTTTATTCAATTATGACATTTTCCTCAATCATAAGATAGAAAGAAGGACATTTGACATATTTTTTCCTAAGTCGTAGCTGTTTTTTCAACAACACGATTATGTTACTAATTCCATAAAAACAAATTCAAGATTTACACTTCTGATATGTTTTTCTTCATTTTCCCTACGTTAGAATATCGCAAACATACTAGCGAAAAAATAGTTGCATAGGGTCAATAATTTTCGTTATATCAACTTTAGGGTGGATGTGAATGTGGTTTTGGAGATGAGCCCAGTATTCCCTGTTATGCACACCCACGCCTTTCAGAGCCTTTAGGCAAAGCTGAAACGAAAACCTTTGTCTTAGTATCATCATAGGGACTCCTACCATTACTATTGAGCTCCTTGGCATTGATTTCAAACTTTTTAGTTCGCTACCAGAGTATGTGATCCGTAGTAAAGTCGTACTCAATCAAGTCGCTAACGCCAAATAGATTAGTGTCTTTTGAAAAAAAACACAATCTCAAAATAATTTTACATCGGGCTTTGGTAGCCTTAGGAGCGGTGTGTAGAATCATGCATCAAGTTTTCGGTAGTCGTGCAAAAGTTTGAAATTTTTAAAAATGAAAGTATATCAAGTAACATTTGATGTCCTTTTTGGGTGTCACGTCGCTAACACTATTTTTCGTTTAATAACTCCTCTGAACAACGCTCTAGAGTGTTCATTTTTCCATACCAATTAGAGTAAATAGAGACTCGTACAACATGCAAAAATTACACCTAAACTAGTTAGGGGTCTCAAGATATACATAGTCCAAGTTTGCAATTTCACGTCGCTAACAGATGATTTAGCCAATGTATTGGTGCTTCTAAGGCGCAATCATCCTTATATGTTTATTAGCTCCCAAATATCGTTAACGAGTATAAAAAGCAATATGAATAACACCAGAGAAACTATGTGAAATGTTCTATATAATGTTTTCAAAGTCAAGCTATCCCTCAATGGTCATGTACAATTGTTTAAGAAGATTCAATGTATTTTTGTATTCAATCAATGCTTCATCATGTCGTTCCATTTTGGACAATAAATCGCCCATCCGAGTTTGAGTGACCACTGTTTCTAATTGATAAATAGGCGTAAAATCTTTATTTAATTCTAAAGCACATGCATAGACTGCTAATGCCATATCCATGTCGTTCATCTGTTCATAGGCATCACCCATAAATCTGTAAATAAGAAAAAAAATGACTGATTGTGAAAGTTAACTACTGAAATACAAAAATCCAACCTGTATGTTTCGGACATGGCTTGCTTGTGTGTTCGTTCTTTATTTGCTGCTTCATCCAATTGTACAAAACCACAATTTTCTTTCAAAAATTTTAACTCGTTACCAACAAATGTCGTCTTACATGTCTTCGGTTGAGGAGTTAGGAACAAGTCAATCGCCTTAGCCGCATAATCAATCGACAGTTGATATTTGTGCTGTTTATAGTGTACCATAGCCAACCATTTATTGCTTGATGCTAGTTCCCAATTGTCATCAGGTGAATGGGTTTCGTAGAATTGTGCCGATGCCTGAAAATGTTCAAGAGCTTGTGAGTATTGTTCGTGATGAACATAGGCGATTTGACCCAAATATCGATGTGATAAACCAAAGCTATCAAAAGGACAATGTTCGGCTGGATATGTAATCACGCGTTTAAAACACTTTTTGGCTTCATCCATGAATGATAATTTTTGATAGTAGCTGAGTGCGATATTAAAAAGAGTGCCCACAATGAGAAGACGAGCTTGAGTAAAAACCTCCGGTGGTGCTTGTTGCTGATAAATAGCATCATAAGCATCAGCTGCTTTCAAAAAGTATCTATGAGAGTCATCTGTAAATGCTCTGTCAAAAAAATAACAATTTCCTATTACAGCATAACATAGTGCAAGTGCATGTGGATCTGGTGGATTGATTCGGTTTTCAAAAACATCGAGTGCTTTTTCATAATATCTTCTTGCCTTTTCGAAACACATGCCGATTTGAAATCCTTGAAGTTCGATTGAATGACCAATTTGTAACTGGCATTGAGCCTCAAAGATGGGTGGAAGATTGATAGCATAGGTAAGCGCACGTTCAAAGAAACTAATTGCAAGCTCATGATGCCCAAGCTCGCTATGTATTAGACCGAGGCAAAAGGAACATACGGCTGTATGAAATTGATTTTGTTTATCATCATTATCATCTCCAATTATTCTTGTAAATTGTTCACAAGCTCGTTGGTAGTCGCCTCCTTTGAAATGTGCTAAACCGATGGCCCGTCGAGCCCATGGAGCTAGATCTTTACGATCATCTAATGTGAGCAAATGATCTGAAAGAGTCAGATGCATCAAGCCTTGAAGCAGATTCTTTTGTTCGTCAACATTCAATTGTTGCCCAGGTCTGATACATAATAAAAGCTTTGCACCAGTATGATAATGGAGAAGTGCAGCATCATTTGTCAATATTTCGACTGTACTAGATAGATCGAGCATGGTTAATTCAAATCGATATAAATAATTGAGTAGATTATTCAGTCTGAGAAAAGAATCAAACGGATTGACATCTGGTATCGCTCGAAATCTTAGATCGAATCCCGTCGAATCGTAGAGAGACCGACGTTCCATACATATGCGAATACGTTCCATTCCGTTGTCAGGTGCAAGGCTCATACGAACACGCCAATAAGGAACATTGTCTTCATATTCTTGAATAACATTCTCAATACGGAAAGTTGTATCAAGATCAAACAAGACTTCCTCTTCATGATCCATTTGCGAGAAACGACTAATATTGGCAAAAGCACTATTACTGTCGTGTAAGTCAACATTTATGTCGAACAATACTGATTCACCTTCAGTAAGTCTCGTTCCAACCGAAGCAAACATTTTGGCGACTTCTTCTTTTTGACTGGTTGAAAGATAACCATTGGCTGATACTAACATTCCTTGACGTTTTAATAGATCGAGACGAAATTCTTTATTTACGACTTGACCTCGATATAAAGTGACAATCGAACCGGAATTAGTAGCATTGCGCCACTCATTCCATTCGTTTTTCAAACAATGTGTTAAATTACGTAGATAAAAACGAAGTACAAATAAACATTCGAGATCTTGAGTGCGCAAAGCACGATTGACAAGTTTGTAGACAAATGTGTCTTTTGTATACCATTTAATAGCATCATTAACGGTATATGTTTGTTCGAATTCATCAATAGCATTACTTAACTCTGGATAACGATTACGACACAATGTCAGAAATTCACATTTAGCTTGTTCACTGGTCGATTCATTCATGCTGAATAAGATTTGTTTATACATACGATAACAAAGAATACGAAAGGCTTCATTATCTACTTCACGTTGTGATATATTTCGGGTATCGTCGCCGATCAATCGACCACTAACTCGTTCATTTTCGAATTCTTTGCTTATATAATGATCAATATCTTGCATTAGATTGTCAATTTGATCAAATGTATCAAGATGAAAACATATGATGTTATTGTTATTCCAGTCAACAGGCAGAGCAGATCTACTCGTCGTTACTGTGATCAAAATTACTTTTTCTTTTTGGCATGTTCGCAGATAGAAAATCAGACGATCGACATCAGAATAAAAGAGAACATAAGCATTGAGTGTATGAAGTCGTTTTTTGATTTCTTGTGTATCATTGCTGTTGATAATAAGTTCTGTGTCAAACCAAATGAGTGTTAACTCTTGTTTACTGCGCCAATTGTTATCAGGACAAGCATTGAGAATAAGAGCTGCTTGGTGGGGATGATAAATACAATTTGGATCTGGAAGATTTCCACTTCCATCGGAAAATGCAAGTTGAAATTTAAGTGATGAAAATGGATTCATGAACGAGATCTTTTATGATCGAATTTCACACAAACGTTCTGTTGTTTTAATGTATACAATGCGCAGTATAAATTAAGCCTTGATTTTTGTTTCGCTTTATTATTATTTTTGTCAATATAGGAGTGCTTTCAAACACTTAGACGTGCATCAGCCATTTGTATATATTTATTTAATTTTGACCGAAGCAAAAAGGTATTTTTCTCCCGTAAAGAAAGAGTTTTGTATTTTTTAAAATTTTTTTCTTTCAAATGCAAAGGATTGAAATCACTACGCTGCTGTCGTCAAAAAAAACATATTTGAATGTATGATTGCTATAGAGAATAGAAGATCAGATAAACAAATCTTGTCAAAATAAATTTCTATATTACAATTTCATATTGGGTAAAGTACGGGTGTACGTAGGGTGCGGAATGTGAGTGTGGACATTACTCCAGTATTCTATCTTACCCACACCCACACCCCAATAAGCTTTTTATCGGGAGTATCTATAGTCTGTTTGAACTATTTTCTTCTAAGTTTTTTAGTTTTGTTAGATTTTGTTTTTATTAAACAATTAATTCTTTACTATGGTGGAATGATTGACTTAAAAGATGACTTTAACGTAGTGAAAAACTTGTTTTATCTGGTTTAACATATAGAGAAGATTATCTAAAAATTTCGAGCATTATATGTCATCAAGATAGGGTGTGGGTGTGTGTGGATGTTTTTCTTCACAGAACTCTGACACCCACATCCCACACCCATACCCCACACTCACACCCACACCCTGTAGCATCAACTACTAAACAAGTCAATCACACGAGGATCTAAAGTATAGATATTAGTAGATTCCAAAAAAAACCGATATATCGACAGCTTTTTGTAATCTATAAAGAAAAAGTTAGTGAAGGGAAGTTGTGCTTTGTGTTAATATTAAATAAAGAAGTTACTCAATTATTAGTAAAAGATGGCATGGTTGTTATCTGAATGGATATCTTCACTTCAACATCAGTATCTTATGTTAGAGTAGATTTTCTCTTTCTATGCTTACATCTACTCATATCTCCATACCTTGATCACTGTACGTAGACATAAAAAAGAACTGTTTATTTTCTGAGAATTAAATTGCAACTGAGCACAGAATAAAGCCACTACAACAAAAGCATACGGTTTTCAATTTTATTTTCAAATTAGAATATTTAAAAGATTATTCATTTGCGATTATAATAATTATGTGCGGCGAAAACGGTTTCTGATGGTTATTTTAATACGAGCAGTAGTTTCATAGAATTCTTTTTGATAGAACTTAGACGGTAGAATAAAGATTATAAATATAAGTAATGGTGGAATGAATGAAATAAAATAAGCACTAAAGTATAGCCAAGGATTTCGGGCTGATTTCATACATGTAGAAACAAGCGAAATGATTAGACGTGGCATAGCAAGAGTGACTAAAACAAAAGAACTTAATAATCTATGTTTGTGTCGACAAAATTGTTTCCATAGATGTTCTCTATATGCTTGTTCTTGATTTGTTTTCGATTTTCTTCGAGCTATTAAGACAATCATCAATAGAACACAGAAGAAGTTCATGCAAAGAGGTAGAAGAAAATGAAAGACGTTAATAAATGACGCGTAACGTCTTATAGATGATGAATAACGAACTACACACCATGTACGTTGTTCTTCTGAATCTTCAAGTAAACGGCGACTTAATGGATCATGAAGAAAACTTGTCAAGATGAACAGATATAGTCCAAAGATTACTCTTTTAGCTACTTTTCTACTTCTTATTTTATTGAATTTGACTCCAAGTCGAATTGTTAATGTTCGTTCAATGCTTACACAAGCATTTAACCATTCTCCAATTGCAGAAAATGCTTTTAAAAGCATGTCTATGCATATACAATACGATAAAAGAAAAGAATAATTAGTAATTATTGTCATTTGAGAAAAGATAAGTAAGAAAAACTTAAGAGTAAATAATGTCATTGTTATAAGCGATGTAATTGATGAAGCAAGTAGATATATACCGGAACCTATTTCAAGTGATCTCTTCTTTGAAAGGTAATGATCGATAAAATACTATTGATAATGGCAATAACAAAAATCAGTACAGTAAAAGCTGTAGTGATTTTCACTACAATTGGTTGTCGTGAGAAAGGAACACTTGGCCAAATATTATATCCAAGAATATCATCGAGTGATAGACCAAATCCTGTTGTAGTAAATTGACATCGACCACCATAATAACATTCTTTGCATAAACATGCCGATAATGTTGGACAAGTATTATTATCTTGAAAACATTGACCATTATTTTCACAATAATTATATCCTAAGCAACGATAAGTAGAAGGATAATCGACTTTGAAACAATTTGGATATCGATCAATGTCACATAGAAACATGTAAGATTTGAGTGTTTTTGACATGGAATATGATATTTTTTAGCACGATGCCATCGTGATAAAATTCGAATATCAACAGTGAATAAATCTTTGATTGAGAAACATTGATGTTCAGGAATAATTGACGTTGAAATATTAATTACTGATGTGAAATTATGTTGAAGTAAAGCAAGATAATACTGTTGATAAAATTCTACAAATACTAGATGAAATGCTCCTCCATAATAAACAGTAGTAGAACTTTCATGAAACTTTAATTTTGACATAATAGTTACTTGTATTGGATCAGGAGGTATTTTAGGCAATGGGCTAGATTCTGGTGGAAAATAAACAAAATGAATGAAAATCATTTGTGGAATGGATATACTTTTAGCAAAATGAAATTCGATTTTTGTCTCGAGATTTTCACATCTTGAACTCATGTAGCCTTGAGAACAAAGACAAACGTATTCCATTTCAGAGTTTTTCTCATCATGAGGAATACATCGACTATTATTAGAATATAGATGCGAGACGCAAGTTGTCCTCATCAAATAACAACGTGGTCCAAATTTATCAAGAGGACAAACACATATTGATCGATTGTTTACAACTCCAATACAAATCGAATCTAATGAATAATCACATACATTCTCTATTGTACATAACATTCCAGAATAACCTATAGAACATTGACAGAAGTATTTATCGGAATTGGAAAAATATCTACATTGCCCATGCAAACATTTCAAAGGACAAATTTTCGATTTCTCTGCAACTGTTGGTACTGGTACATCGACTTGCAGTGAAAGACGATGTACTGGTAAGAATGAATATTGAATAGGATAGATCATACTAGCATAATATTCCAATTTTTCTTTATTATATGTGTCAATACGGACATAATACGTTTGATTGGTATATTTTGACCGTGTCGAATAGAGAAGATAGAAATTGAATTTTTTTGAACAATCACGTACGGACACATAATCATGTTGTTCTGAAGAATGAATGGTTGTATTGTCGTCAATCAGCATAATAACAAAAGTGAATACGGTTCGCAATTCAACTGTTCGAAACTGTAATGTAAGACTAATTCGTTGATTTTGATATTCACATCGATATCCGAAATAAGCTGGAGGACATAAACAAAAGATTTCTGAGAAATTATTTACATAGATAGGAATTCCGCGATTACAAATTGAATATAAACCATGATTCTTCGATTCCGAATACCATACGGGACCAAATGGATTAGAATAAACAGTTTCGATGGCCGTTGCTGCGGTGGCATTATACTCGTTGGTAGCTGTTTCAAGAGAGGGGGGATAAAGAAGATGACTTTTCAATGTAAAATAGACAAAAGAATCTTTTCGTAGGCCCTCAATTAGTTGATAGCGATAGAACTGATAATCGAAACCGCGTGGTTTTTGATAAATATCGTTATAATCTACAAAATCTGATAAATTTACCTTTTTACACCATAAATCTTGGTCATCTCCTGATGAACAATGTTGTACGTTTGAAGTACATATCTCATACATATAAATGCACTGTGTCTCATTGAAGCAACGATACGTTCTACCGACAGCTGATTCCACGATTGCTCCACAGCGATCTTGTTCATCATCACCACCTAAACAGTCAATACGACCATCATTAATTCGCGAGAGAGATAAACAAGTAAAATTGTGATGAAAAGGTAATATACAAGGATGTCCATTAGGATGCCATGGATTATAAGGACAGTTGGCTTCATCGATTGCATTGTGACAATTCCATTTTCCATCACATCGTGTATATATATTGTTACAAGGCCAATCTTTTTCACAATCAATTTCATCTGTATAGTTAAGCCCGTCAATTTTCCTATGGTCGATAAAATTATCGCAAAGTATTGTGAATGACAGATAAAACTTCATTGGATTTGTACCAGGTATACTTATAGACGTATCCTCCATACCCATACACATCGGGATATTCGTATTAACACGAGTGATAGGTATACATTTCTTTTCCGACGTACAACGAAAGCGGTAATCGACATCTGGTAAAATGTTGTGCGTAAATGACATCATCAAAATGCTATAAGAAGTAATCACATTAGTGAGTCGAATCTATATTTTTGGACAAGGGGATAATATATTTAACATTGTATTGTCTTGCTTAAAGAAAGGGAGGAGTAAAGTAACGATCTTACTAATTTGAGATTTATATAAACAATCATGTTTCAAAGAGAGAGAAAGTTGAATTTGTAATTCTAGAGAATTAAATTTATTATGTATAATTGAACTGTAACCTGATGAGTTTAGTATAATTTATATATGAATATTGTGAATTTCTTCGAATAATTATTGCTCATGATGTTACGCGACCATCAACCAGAATTTTCAATACAAAAACGTTAGAAGCGAAATCTGTACACTAAAAGCCTCGAATTCGATCAGTTTTTCTGTAATAGTAATAGTCACAAACAATTTTCTCACAGCTTTATTTTACACAGCTCTTTAAATGCATAATAAAATGAAAGTACAGTGCTGATCAAAATTAAAGGTCAATTATTCGATAAAGCTACTTGACAATCTTGTTTCTCTTAATTTTCTTACACAAAAAGAAATAACTTGAAGATATGTATTGAGATGTTCTCACTATTAATGTAAAATCATGCTTACTTGACAGTACTGTTAGACTGTAGGAAAAACTTTTAAAATTGATTTATACTTCACCTTATAATTGCGCTTCAGTATTCATACATCAATGGATGGACAAAAAAAGCATTCACACTTCACCTATCATCTATTACTATTGCAATTAAAGCGGTACTCCTTTTGAGAAGTATATTTGAATAGAAAACATTTTCTTTGAATCTACAATATGTCAAAGAGTTTTGTATCAGGTGTGAGTGCCATATATCAATATCTACTACACGAAGTCAGATCGAAATGGGTACGAAGCACCTTCATTCATTTTTGAATATTATGTATGAGGGATTTTCAGAGATGTGAAGACTTGCGTGCTGATACCTATACGTCCGGTAGATACTGTTGAAAATTTTGGCATTTGTGACAATACCTCTCGAATGTAACCTTCAAATAAATGTGGAAATCTCGGATTTAAATCCGAGAGTTATGTGTACTTCAAAAAATGAATGAAGCAAATCAGTCATCCTAGAGTGTGGGGATACAAAAATTAGCCTTTTAAACCTTTCTTATAAACACTTGACTTCTATTGGCTATTGCTCAACCAATAGGATTTCAGGATGAATACAGCTCAGATTTGAACTCTTTGCGTTGATTTACTTTAGAACAGTCATTTTTCCTATAACTCGATTTCTATTGGTCAGTACTCCACCAATGGAGCTTCAAGGCAAGTGGAGTACAGATTCTAGTTCTCCGCCCCAGAAAACCTTCGATTATCACCTCTATGATCGGAAGATATAGCTCTAATTGGATATCGATTAGAGCATGCACAAAAATAGAACCGGTTTCCGCTTTTTTATCTTTCCAATAGGTAAGCTAGCCTTC